ATAAAATATTTCTGAAAGTATTGTAGGATTATGACAGAGGCTATGGGTTTTAATTTTGCAGGAGTCTGAACTTAGTTTCAGCTATATTTTCGATTAGTCATTCATTTTTATCTCTCTTGCAAAGTTCCAATTTTTTTTCTTTTTTTGCAGTTTTCTCATGGACCAAGTCATCTACTGACCCCTTTATTAATGTTTTGTGTTTTCACTAGGTGGGGAAGAAGGGACTATTGTATTTCTAGAGAGAGAAGGACGTTTAAATACCAAGACACCATTATTAGAACATAGCTCAGAGAAGGGAACAATCAAGCATGTTTTCCCTATGAACCTTTTCTTAAAGCCATGGAAAATTGGTGGATGGGTTTACCATGTTATCAAAATTGGGATCGTCCAATATGTATGCCTGCCGTTGACCATTGATGCTCTGTTATCCAATGCCTTTTAATATGATTAAAGAAGACTAATGGGTTTTCTGTGCAGATGATGATAAAGTCCCTCACTTCTATTTTAGCTGTAGTTCTTGAGAACTTTGGCGTTTATTGTGAAGGAGATTTTAATTTCAAATGCGGGTAAACCAAAATTTCAAGTATCTCTGCCGTTGCTTACTCTCCTTCATATTGGACTAACTGCATGTCAAGTTTTAAGTTTTCTTTGTGGGGTTTTCTTTAATTTTCATTTTTACACGGCATTGGATGTTTGCTCATGCATATTGTTACTGTTGACTTTGAAATGCGTATGTTTTTTTTGCTTTTTTCACATTCTTGATTTGAGTTATCTGTCGATTGTATGTGTGCATCTGTGGAATATATTGCTATGGATCTGTCATGTTGACATATCTTTCCTATGATCTTTCATGTTGAAGTTCTACTTTTTTTTCTGTTAGTTTCTATATTGTTTGTTTCTGGACTGGTTTTGTTTTGCTTTAGCTGAATTAAATATCAATTAGTGTATAAGGTAGCAGGTGGTCGTCTGAAATTTTGGAATACTCCCTCATTATGTTATCTTATGAAATACTTCTGGGCGGGGAGTGCTAAGTAGATTTTTATAACTGCATCTGACTATTATTGCTTTTAAAAAATGACTGAAAAATATTGGAGATTTTAAAGCTGAAATTTTCGATTGATGGTTTTAGCATTTATTTTGTAGGTATCCTTATATGGCAGTGGTTTTAAATTTCAGTCAATCATGGGCATTGTACTGTCTGATTCAGTTCTATGCAGTTACGAAGAAAGAATTGATACATATAAAGCCATTCGCCAAGTTTTTTATGTTTAAATCTATAGTATTTTTGACTTGGTGGCAAGGTGTTGGAATTGCTCTCCTATCTTCCCTCGATCTGTTCAGTTCTGTAGCCCAAGGGTTACAGTTTAAGTCAAGTGTCCAAGATTTCATCATTTGTATCGAGGTAGCCATTTCTTTCTCCTGCATCTTTTTTTTTTTTTTTCCTTCAACTGATTCAGATCTAATGTTGAATGGTGATGCCATTGATTAAGCAACTGTCGTCAGACTTGTCTAGTAATATTTTCGCTTTCTCAAAGTCACTTTACCCTTTAATGTGCGTTTCCTATCGTCTTTCTTTTTTGTTTTACTCTTCTCGGATGGATAAGACGACAAGTAGAATTCAAGTTTATTCTACCTTTCTTCTGCCCAAATTGTAAACTTAATTGTTGAAACTTGATACAGGAACAGCAAACTTTAGAAACCAATAGTTGAGTTTGATTTACTTTTATACATATGATGGTATAGAGATCTTTACAGGTGTAGCTGATTGAACTTGTTCATTAAATAGTGGAAGAATTGTGATGATGGTGGTGCTATATTGACGATTGGCATCCTTTAGTAATTATTTCTTGATTTCTATCTACTTTTAAAAGCGACCATGTGTATTAGAATTTGACTGAGTTAATATTCTTTTTTCTTTTCCTATTACATTTTATTCGCTGTGCTGACGACTTCATCTGAAGAATCAAATAGTTGAGAACGTTATATTGTTTTCTCATTTAATCGAGCACCATTTTGTCTCATATGTTTCTCATTCTTGTTTTATGAACCATCCTCTTTTTTTTTTTTTTTTTTTTTTTTTTTTTTTTTTTTTTTTTTTTTTTTTTTTTTTT